GAGAGAGAGAGAGAGAGAGAGTGCTGGGGAAAGATACTGACATTTAAAAGCGAATAATTTGACCTACATTTTATTTTCAGGTTGGACAGTATTTCAAATCTTCCCTGGACATGAATGTAACGAGCGTCCGCCTCTACTCGTCATCCGGCGATGAGATATCACAGATGCCCCTCGTGCAGTGTCCATACCCCTGCAAATGTCAGGGCGACAACGCGAGTGCAGGGGCGGCGCTGGGCCTCCTGCCAGAGGATACGCACTGGGCCACACGGGGAGAGTTCAAAGAGGAGCTGTGGGCCATAATCGTGGTGTGCATCGCTGGAGTAGGAGCTGTGACGTCAATAATTCTTGGCATTTACGTTGTGTACAAAATATGCAAAGGAGCGCTGGCGCGGAGATATGTCGGCTTAGGCTTGTTGCTGCTTCTCTCGTTCCTCATGCTCTATACAGCTGTAGTGCCTTTTGTATTCACGCCCAACGAGGGCGTCTGTGGTGTAAGGTTCCTCTTCACCGGCCTCTGTCACGCTTTGTGTTATTCTGTCGTTCTGGTCAAGCTGATGACCCTTCAGAGCTACAAAATGATCGGTTTGGGAGGGGAAGTGTCTGGCCTTAATCAGATGCTCACTGTCTTCTTCATGGTTGCTGTCCAAGTGGCTATCGGCGTCCAGTGGTGGACATACAACACCCCGACCTATCGCACAGAGCTAGATATCGTTGCTGGGACTCTAAAGTACGCGTGCAATTTTGACCGTGAAGACTTTGCGATGTACTTCAGCTACGACATGTTTCTGCTTCTGATCTGCTCCCTGTATTCCATTGCAGTTCGGAACGAAAAGAAAAATCTAGGCGAAGCCAAACTTCTTCTAGCCTTCTGCTGGTTGTCTATGTTTATTTGGGCTGCCTGGCTCCTTTGCCTCTTTTTCCTTGACAGAAAGTACGCTGATGCTATCATCTGCGCAGGCCTTTTGGCTGAAGCCACGTCTGGAATCCTAATTGTATTCATCCCAAAGGTCCGACAGGTGGCGCGGCTTCGCTATGATTTGTCACAGAAGGGCCCTTTTCGCAACGGTTATAGTGTAGACACTGATTTTTTGTACGAGCGCCCCTATTCCCTGCCTGGTACGCTTACCAGTACCTACTCCGCCAAAGTCAATTATCCAAAGACGTTCTCCAATTTTGACTCAGAAATGAATTATTGAGACCTTCTATGACTCTTAAGCCCCAGCTGCCCTCTACTGGCGCATGTGGTGTAGCGGTTAGGCTCTTTCCTGTCGCATGCAGGAGACCCGAGTTCGATCGCCGAGTCGGGAGAAATTTTTTATTGAGCATCTCGGCCTTTCTGCTGACATGTTGTACCCCTCTCAGCCCGGGTTGGCCCCGACAGGCAGGGCAGGAAGCCCTCTCCTAAGTGATCTAAATTATGTCGATGGGGGGTGGGGGTGGGGGGGCTAAAAAAACTCCTACGTAAAAAACAAAAGAGAAACAAGCTGCCCCCTCCCCGGTTTTGTTTCAGCACTACCAGACAATGTACAACATTGTTCTCTGCCAACCACCATGAAGATGGGGAAAAACAGGCACTGAACTCTTAAATCTCCGCCATACACGCCTGGCCTTGCTGCTTTTTTGCCTTTTCTTTTTTCCATGACCGTAAATAATCTCACAGGACGCCATTTTATCCCCATGGCAGTCCTCAGCTCATTTATCCATCAGCACCTAAGAGGTATATCCGAACATGACTACATATTATGTCTTTTCATAGCTGTATACAGCGGTTACAAAAATGTTATCTGCAGAGAGAGAGAGAGAGAGAGAGAGAGAGAGAGAGAGAGAGAGAGAGAGAGAGAGAGAGAGAGAGAGAGAGAGATGTAAACCGGGAGAGAGAAAAAGAGAGGGCGAAGAAAATGGACGATTCACTGAAAAAGGTACACAGAGACAGATAAGATAATGACTCAGATAATGACTCAACACTCAGACACAGATTCGAGCGGGAAAAAACGGTTGACATTTCAAGATAAGTACACAGTACAGATATAGATGCAACGGAGAAACAAAGCAAGAGAAGAATAGAACAATATCTTTTTTTAAAAAGATACCCAAAGTGATGAAAATAGACGTAGTATAAAATGGAACCTGGGGGATTTAGAAATGCACACATATTTGACACTTAACCAATGGGACATGTTCGTCAGATAGGTAGATATATATACAGATAGATAGACAGATAGATAGATAGTTAGAAAGATAGATAGATCGATTGATCGATCTATCGATAGATAGATAGATAGATAGATAGATAG